GTTTAAAATATAATGTTGCGAAGAGTGAGTTCATGGTGTTTAAGGTGGGCATGAAGAAACCTAATTTCGTACCACCTGTAACTTTAGGGGGTGTTACACTTAAACGAGTAATCGAATTCAAGTACCTCGGCCATGTGGTTACCGAAGATTTAAAAGATGATAAGGATATTGAAAGAGAAAGGAGGGCGCTGGCTGTCCACTGCAATATGCTGGCCCGCCGGTTCTCACGTTGTACAGTCGAGGTAAAACTTATTTTATTTAAGGCCTATTGCCAATCCCTCTATACGTGCGCCTTATGGGTCAGATTTACGCAGCGGGCATACAACACCCATTATAATAACGCTTTTAGATTATTGCTGGGGCTCCCACGTTACTGTAGTGCATCAGGTATGTTTGTTGACGCCCACATAGACAATTTTTCAACACAGACTCGCAAAAAAACTGCGTCACTGGTGTACAGGGTTCGTGGGAGCGCCAACAGCATTATTAACGTAATTAGCGAGAAACCCGATTGTACTTTTTTGAGGCACTGGACAGGCAACCCAGATATATGAAGTAATTTTTATTTAATTTTACTATCTACTTTTAACAAATTATCGTCTGCAATAAATGATTAATTATTATTATTATATCATTAATATAAGTTATGTTTATGATTTTGTTAATATATTATTAAGTCGGGTCTGTTGTGAGTTACGTTTACATTGATTTATATTATTTTGTTAATATTAAATAATTATTATATTTTCAATATTATTATGAATACTTATGCATTTGATATATTAATTTTAGTAATGAGTAATAATTTTAGTATTAGAATTAACTTGAATGAATGTAATATTACCCTATGATCCATGCTGGTCGAAATAAATAAATAAATAAAAATAAAATACCTTTAATATGGTTTAAACGTTTTTTTTTCTAATTTTAGTTTCAATTAGCTACTTAAATTAATTTATGTAGTAAGTAAATGGTGCAAATAGTTTTTGACAACCCTAAAAATCATGTTTCTATTAACCCCTTTTAACGTTCTTTCTTCGTTTCTATTAACCCCAAAGGTGTTTTTATTCACCCCTCAGTCGTATCTATTATATATATATATATATATATATATATATATATATATATATATATATATATATATATATATATATATATATATCACCTCGAATTCGAGAAAAAATACCAGTATCCAAATTTTACTATTTAAAAGAATAAAATCGTTCAATATCGATATTCATATTTGTATTAATAATAGATGAGAAATTCAACTCCCTAAAAAAAATTTGCAGCAAGGAAACACTGAAGAACTTGATATTTATCTAAAAGTTTTACACTGCATAAAACCACTTGTACTCACACGTTTATAATAACCGCCCTTTTCCTTACTGTCGTCAAAATTGACACTAATTTAAAGATTACCAAAATAAAGAGAAAATGTTGGCAAATAATAAACAGTAGTAATAAACCTACGTTCCCGAGCTGTAGACAAACCTAGAGACAACTTTATCAAATAACCAGACTTGTGTCTATTCACCCCGGGATTACTAATCACCCCATTTTACGGTATATAAATCAAGGAAAAATTAAAATATTTTACAATTTCAGTCCAGTTTTTGAGATACACCAACTGCATAAATAACTTTGTAAAACAATCTAATTTAATATACTATTACTATGTATTTCTTGAGAGATACATTGCGTTTTCATAAGATGGCCAAGTCAATCTATTTATTTAAAACATAAAAGATTTTTAATATTGATACGGTCTATAAGATGTTGTTAGGTTAGCTAATTACGTAATAACTTAAGACAGAAGGACCCTTAAGTAGGGACTCAATAAATTAACCGACTTGGTATTACATGGATCTCACAACTTTTTACGGTAGAAGAACTGATTTGCGAGACTTGGTTTTTTTACAAGTTATGTTTTTGATGGCATTTAGAAACTTTTCAGTGCAAATTATAATATATGTAGCGCCATCTAGGTACAAATTTCTTAAAACATAAGTTGCCCCGATAATGCTTAATTTTCATTTCGTAATGTTGTCTAAACGAATAATCCAGTTTCAATTATATAAAAACCAAATATATTATGTGTAGGCGAAAGAGGAACATCCCAGATGCACTCATGATGGATGGCGTAAATATGTGTGCATTACCACATAAAGTACCAGAAAATATAATAAACAGATTGTTAGCAATTCGTCGCAAATGTATAGTACGCTTTTCTGATGATGTTAATTTTCAAAAGTCTTCCTAACAACCACGGTTGCCACGTTACCAGTGAAACGACGCGCGACGTTTCGCTAGAGTAAAACCATTTTACCGTTTACTTTTGATCTGGCCAGTATTTTCTAGTCGTGCCTTCATATAAATAACTAAATAAAATACTCGTCACGATCATAGATTAGTATTTAATATATATTTGAGAGCCACGATACAGAGATACATTCAATAATGAGTTAGCATCCTACTATTTATTAAAATAAAATGCGTCTAAAATACTCGTATATTTTTTATTTTTGTAATCAAAGAGGAAATTATTGCGATGGCGTTCTTGAAGATATTGCTAAGAAGTGCAATGCGTTAGTACATTTTATAGTTCTATAATAGTTTAAGCAGCACAAACCAATAGAAGATATTTTATCTGGGGGCACGGCAGTGCCCCCGCCAAGTCGAGCAAAAAAGCGGCACGGCCGTACCATCCTTTTCTCGAAGCAGTTCAGGCCATTTTCGAAACCCTATAACTTCGTCGTGGATAAAACTAGAAGCCTGAATTTTCGGTACCAAGTAGGCATTGTATAAATTCGGTATATTTCCAATTTCATGAAATTCGAACCAGTAGTTTAAGAATTAGAACTAGTCAAAGTTTCTTAATTTTGTCACTCACTCACTGACTGACCGATCATCAAAACTCTAAGGCACTTCTAGCAGACATAGAAGTTTCAAATTTGGGATACAACTATTTTTTAGTATATAAATCAAGGAAAAATTAAAATATTTTGCAATTTCGGTCCAATTTTCGAGATACACCAACTGCATAAATAATTTTGTAATCCCATATAGAATTACAAAGTTATATTTGCAGTAAATGAATCAGTGTACCTATATATGTATAATATAATGGAATAATAGGTGTAGATAGGTACCTAGATATAACTATCTACAAAATGAAATGAGATGCCATCAAAAACATAACCTGTAAAAAAAAACCAAGTCTCGCAACTCAGTTCGTCTACCGTAAAAAGTTGTGAGATTCATGTAATACCAAGTCGGTTAATTTATTCAGTCCCTACTTAAGGGTCCTTCTCGCTATATTTATTTTACGTAATTAGCTAACCCAACAACATCTTATAGTGACCATATCAATATTAAATATCTTTTATATTTTAAATAAATAAATTGACTTGGCAATCGCACTAAACAAACTAATTTAATTTATGTATTACTTGAGAGATACATTGCGTTTTCATGCGAAGTTTATTACGCAGAGAAACCCCGAGCATATCCATATGGAGGTGGGCAAAGTGTATCATTTTTGGGATTGGAACATTTGCATCTTGATCACTGAAATGTTCCGAAACACTGATATGTTTCATTTGGCTCATTTGTATCATCGCCTCAAAAGATATAAAAGAAAGAATGTTCCGAATAGGTACATTAAGTTGCGTCGCGGGCGTTTATTACTGACTGATCCGTGAAATATTATGTGGCAACCATGCTGAATAATATAAGTGCTTAGATTATTTATTGTGTACCGTAATAAGATTGTATATAAAATCGATTCTCCTTCATACTTTAACAAAAATGTCACTATGTCAATTCATTATTTACAAAAATGTCCATTTACACAAAACAGCAATGTCTATGTACACAGAATTTACTCGTAAAGTATCATAACTCTAAACTTTACGATGAAAAGGAAGAAAATAAAGTCACAATAATCACTACGCAAAGAAATCCTAAACATAACTCAGTATGTTTTCGTAAACAGGCGCTAATGAATATAAACAATTTGACAAGTGCCGCATCAACGTAAAATGTCAACTTGTTAATGCAAACGTTACATACAAAAAACGACCGTATAGTATTTGACACATAAGCGCCTTAGTGGTAATTTTTACGTGCATGAATAACGTCAGCGAAAATCCGTACGAGTTGAGGTTACACTTCTTATTTGTTATCTCTATCTGACTTGTGTGGATTATAATTATTTCGCCCGCTCACTCGCCACTAGTGAGTCAATAGTTAAGTTAATCATTGTCTCAGTCTCTCTCTTTCGCTCGTGGCTCAGTCGCCTCGCAAGCGACGCGTCGCGCGAAATGAGCAAAGAGCAAAGTAATGTTTCACTGTTCCAGATACAAATGATACATTTGAAACGTTGTTACTGAACCAATCTTTTGTGTCACTTCAGTGATTCGTATCAGTGTCGTTTCCGTAAAGAGATACACACGCCTATATCCATAGCCTCTCCTTAAGATTCCACATACGGCCAGCAGTGATGAACCCACAGAGTACCTTTATATATACTGATCTCAGATACGTAAGTCATCACTGGCAACACGCACTGGTTGTACAATCTTGTTTTCAAGTCCTAGATATACAAACACCGAAAACAACTTTCACATTTAATTTATATTTCATTATCATCATCATCATTACATTTATCAAGTCATTTATTTTATTTATAGAATACTTACAGTAAGTGTAAAATAAAAAGTTTTATACTCGTACAAACTGCGACATGCTATTTAGTTTGAATTTTTTAAAATTCTTTCTTGTCGTTGTGGATACTTTTCAAATTTCAGATTTTTACCATGTGGATTTGATAGATGAGTCAGTTACTCAGGATATCTTTTTTATACTACAGATTTATACTATTGAAATAGTAGGATGATAGGACTACCGGGATAATGGGATGGGTAATTAATTTTAAAGATCTAGACAAAATATTTTATCTCAACTTCTGTATGTTATTTTACAATATATAAAAATACTCATGTTCGAGGTTTATTTTTTGAGGTAAAAATAGTGACAGACAGAGACAAAATTCCAAGGACTGCACTTCCTCCGCAAGCGTAAGTTAGAACTCCTCTATAGTATTGTGGGCAGGCAAGGACATCGTCGCATTTGCTGAAACAAAGAATACATAACGCATATAAGCAGTAATAATAAAGTTAAAGCCATAGATTAATGATAAGTCATCGCGCGCTCGCGATGACTTATCATTAATCTATCATATGGATAAAGCCTATATTCCTGTCACTGCAGTTTTGATTGTGCTTAATCAATACTAACTTTTCAATCAACTATTTCATTGATAATGGCGTGGATCGAATTCGGGTTGCTCGCGTAGTTTGTTGCGTTGCCGAAAAAGCTGGCTTACAGTTTGGCAAAATTTAAAATGTAAATAATGTAACACTCTTTCTAAGAATAAATAAAAAAAAGTTGGTAGCTAGGCTTTATAATTTACGGCGACTGGTATTATACCTCCAATATGACCATATTGCGTTAAAAATTATAAGATCGCTTAAAAACAAAAGAATATAAGTTTTTAATAAAACTAGTTTTACGGATTTTTCTTTATAAAATTAGTTTCACGAATCGTTGATTACAAAATAAGTAAGAAAAAAATAAAAATCCGTTCTCTATCTATTATCGTAGTACTTACTTGTATTCAGTGCATTGTTTGCGTAAATATAAGAAATCACTAATATTTTTGTTAAAATAAATTAATTTATTAGGTGTTAGCATTTTAACGTCTAGGCATCCGTCTGAGTGAGGTACCGCCCTCTTCCCTATTTATGTCGCCAAAGAAACATCAGGACTGTGAGTTCGTTAGTCACTTCAATCTATACAAATAAATAAAATTGAAGTGTCTGTTTGTAATGTCAAAATTACAGCTTTTTACTAAATGCATATGAAATTATCTACGGCACTAGTAACAAAAATACATTTTTTAAAGATTTTGTCTGTCTGTCTGTTCATTTGTCTATCTGTTTGTTCCGGCAAATCTCCGAAACGGCTGGACTGATTTTGACGGGATTTTCACTGGCAGATAGCTGATGTCACAAGGAGTAACTTAGATCTTTTATTTTAGAAAAAGAATTAGGGTTCCGCGCAAAAAAACTTAAAACCCCAAATAACACGCGGGCGAAGTCGCGGGGAACAGCTAGTTTTATAATAAAATCATGCAGTATATTATAAGACTATGACGATTAACGACCCTAGATAGTCAAGTTATACACTACAAGGCCATTAATGATTTCTTATATTTACGCGAAGACTACACATTAAATGAAACTAATTTTTACAGACTTTTTCGCGTTTAATTTACTCGTAACTTTTTAATTCCCGACGTTTCGGGTACTTTACAGCACCCATGGTCACGGGGTGGACTGATTTACTAGATCGGACCAAAAATTAATATTCAAAAAGTGGTTGCTGTGACCCATAGACATCTAGATCTATCCACAATAAAGAATCAAAATGCAGATGCGTAGTCACCCGTGAGGACTAAGATGGAATGCCACTTTAGTAAAAAGGGCTCCGGTTCTTTACTCTCACCATACGAATCGCAGCAGTGTTAAGCTGCCATTTACGCTGGTATTCTGTGAGAGCATTGTCCTTCCCCGGTCGAACCGACCCATTCGTGCTACAACTATACTACTAATATAGCTGCATCATGGGTCTACCAAGTATAAAAAGGTCTCTCTATTACCTATTTTAAATGAATATTTAATTAAACTATAAAAACTGTATAAAAAGGGTTATTACAAAATAAATTAATACATGGTTGATAATAACCCCTGGGAATTAGGTGGTAGATTCCAAGCTGTTTCTAAAATAAATTTTGTACATAGTTTGTACAACCTTCCTTATTGTATAATTTACTTTGAAAAAAAGTCCCACTGGATTTCTTGCAGGTTCTTCCTAGGACAGAGGTTTTTTTCCGAACCAGTGGTAAAACCAAAAAACTACTTTTAATAAGTATATATATATTTAATCTATATTCTAAAAAAAATATAATGTCCTATTCTATTCTATTTTATTGACAGGATATACTTGTTTCTTGTAATAAACGAAAAGGCGTGCCCAGCTCATCAACTAAACGTTTAGCCTATGCGTCATTGAATCATTAATATTCCGTAATTGTTTTAGGTGTAACAGATTAACTAAAGTATCAATAACATGTTATTATATATAATATAAATTACTTACTAATTTTCAATGGCGACTACTGCGATTCCAGTGACTAGTTTATCGGCAAAAGTAACAATCGAATACACCGATGCACCTTGATGTGAGTGGGGTCCTATCAAGTCAGCCGTGACACACAAACTCGATACAAGCGTGATAGAACTGCCAGCGCCTGGAAATAAAAAAATACGTAATTATGTTAATTCCGTCGTCAGTTACTGTACAATAGAAAGAGCATAAAATATATAAGTCAGTCGATACAAAACAACAATAGTGGACGTGTTCTGGACACAATACCATTGAGATATAATGGTACGTAGTACATTATATCTCAATGCACAATAACTTGCGTCTAAACATAGTGTGTCTGCCAACAACCACCACAGCAATAATTGGAAAGTCTAGCAATGAGCGAAAGATTCATAATTGTAATGATGATCTATTCATACTTATATTACGATCTATTAAAATTCCACTGCTGGACATAAGCGTATATACGCGGTAGAGCCATGCTGCAGCTATATTTCTAGTATAGTTGTAACACGAATGGGTCGGCCCGACCGGGGAAGGACCACGCTCTCACAGAATACCAGCGTAAATAGCAGCATAATGCTGCTGTGTTTCGTATGGTGAGTGTAGAGAACCGGAGACCCTTTTTACTGGAAACGAGGCATTCCATCTTAGTCCTCACGGGTGACAACGCATCTGCATTTTGATTCGTAATCGAGGATAAATGTTGATGTCTATGGGCCACAGCAACCACTTATCATCAGGTGGACTGTGTGCTCGTTTGTCACCCTTATCCTTTAAAAAATAATAAGCCTCCCCCTACTATGAAACTCCTCAACTATAAAAAATACCCCAATACTAATAACTAGGCAATATATCCTCATATGAGGGGTATTTTTGATAGTTGCTACGCGTGGCAGGCGGGTTGCCTATAGCAATATTTTTATTAATTTAAAATGCTGTTCCTCATCTTCCCTCGATTGCCTCTTTAACATTCACGGAATTATATGGGGTAGTGGATTATCTTAGGCCTACACTACACGTCATGTTTATATTTGGAGGCTTATTACTAATTACAATTTTACGTATAAAAATAAAACTAATATTATAAAACTATTCCTCACCACTTCTTTTTGCCATAATTGCTTTTTGATTTGCATTAGCAGTTGAATTTGTGATCGAAGTACCAGACAATACCGGGTATTATTTTTTTTTAAATGCTAAAAGTTTTAATTTTATATACGAATACAGGCAATTCTCAAATGATGTGATTTCAATTTGCGTCAGCTTAATCAACATTGGAATGTTTACAGGCTGATAAAATTAAGATGAAATAAAAAAACATGTGTGATCATAAATTATAGATGTAAGCTGTAAGCATAAATCTTAAATAGGTATATAATATTGGTTGGATTTGGTCTTTGGATTTAATGGAAAGGCGAGCAAATAGGTTTATGGGGACGTATTTCTTCTTAAACTAAGTAGAGACGACCATTGACGCAAGACCTTACAACTCTAGTTGCCATTGCTGGCGAGAATCTCACCTCACCTGGTTGATAGGCATAAGTTTTTTTTTAATGATAAGACTGCATCCTAAAATAACATATTATTTCTTTGAAGGCACCAACGGATGATAATATGGGGCAACGGGATCTTTTACACCACCACTATACATACGGTTACAATAATATTCGTGTTTAGGCTAGAGGGCGAAGAATTTGTCCTAGCTGATGAACTGCCGCCACCCATATACAACTGCAACATCAGGGGAATCGCAGACGCGTTGCCGGCCTCTTAAAAAGGAGTAGGCTCTTTTCTTGAAAGTACCTAATTCTTATCGGTCCGGAACAATTGCTGGTGGTAGCTGATCCTACAGAGAAGTCTTGCAAGGAAGAAAACTCCTAGTGAATTGTACGGTGGAGGATAGCCAAGCATCCAGATGGTATGGATCGTATCGTGAATAATGTCGCGATATTTTATAATGAAATTCGGTGGCTGGGTTTAATCCAAACAATTTCTCTGAGCACTTCTCGTGGTAAATACGATAGAAAATGAATAGAGATGCAACATCTCTTTGTAGCATCAGCTTTGTAGTAGTGAATTGAGCCGATAAGAGAGAACGCGGTCGTCAACTATTCGGGACAATTTTCGCTGGATACGGTCAAACGGAAGGAGCTGGCAATAGTGTGATTCGGCCCAGAGATTATAATATTCCATGTAAGGCCAAACTTGCGCTTTATAAAGTTGCAAGCGTTATGCCAGGATGAAATACTATCCCATTTTACTCAGCACGCGAAGCTTTTTAGAGATCAATTTAACCTTCCCTTTCAAGTTACCACGGAACTCAACGGCACATGATATGTCGACGCCGAAAATTCCAACGATGGTTGAGGCAGCAAGTGAAGTGCCCTGAAAATGGCGAGGCACGAACAAGAAGTTCTCTTTAGTAGTAAACGCGCAAAGCTGTGTCATCTGAGGATGAAACTGAACTAGATTTAGTCATCCCAGAGACTTTGTTTCGACTTCATACACATATGTTTGTTTTAGCGCTCGACAACGTACTCGTATTACCGAGAAATATTGGCACAGTCGGGATAAAAAGCACAACCAGTGCTGTCATCCGCATAGCAATAAATATTACTAGTTTGCAAGATATTATTAATATGCAGAAGAAATGGCGTAAGTGATAGCACGCAGCCTCCTGTAACACCAACGTTAATAAGCTTGAAATTGTAGCATGCCGTCTGTTAAGATTGATGTTTCGAACTGCAAGAAAACTGGGTATCCAATTGTATAATTTCTCGGGAAGCCCATTAGAAGGAATCTTCAAAAGAAGCGCTTTGTAGTAAACCCGATCGTAGGCCTTCGCTATGCCCAAACTAACCGCCCAGGCTTTGGACCCCTGACGGGAACCGTATTGGCGGTAACTAATCATGACGTACCTCATAACGGAATTATTTTAGGGAACAAGCAGATGATGGCGATAGGTCTATAGTTAGACGGGTCTGATCGATCAATTTCTTATGGGATTGCGTGCAGTAAATCTGTCTTCCATGAGTTCGGGACTGCAATAGGTATAGGAGTAGGAGTACCTGAAAAGACGTGTGAGAACCGGTGCTAACTCCGGAGCATACATTTCTAACCGAATAGGGGGGACTCCATTAGGCTCGCTCGATTTGTTAACGCAAAAGTAGACCTGGAGAGATATTTTGTGCACTGACCCGTAAATCAAATAACCGGCATGGGGTTGTTCCACCTGTCATAGAGATTTGAGTTTGACTCAAAGATAGAGCCTAATAGATCGCTAAATAGATCTCCTTTGCGGCTCGGACCAGTAAGTTGTTCTCCCTGTGCAGAAATGGAAAATATGGCCTTTCGGAGATAATGACAATTATTTTCGTCAAGTATACCTCAAAATTTGAAAACAAGAATGTACAACCATTGAAAGAAGGAAAGAAAGCAATTTTTTATTTTGACATTTACCATTTTCGTACTCAAAACAACAATATACACAGATTATATTTTTTATAATCTTTATAACACACACACACACACACACACACACACACACACACACACACACACACACACACACACACACACACACACACACGCGCGCGCGCGCGGTATGTGCACGCATGCATGCACTCACGTACGCATACTCATAGCGCAGCAGATTAGTAAGCTGAAGTGGCAATGGGCCTGACCTGTAGCTTGAAGAACCGACAATCAATGGGGAAGAAAAGTGTTCGAGTGGCAGCCTCGTAACGGTTAGCGAAGTGTAGGGCGGTCCCCCATTAGATAGAGTGACGACTTGGTAAGAGATACAGGGAGTCGATGGATGCAGGTAGCTTAGGACCGTGCTTTATGGCATTCCTTGAAGGGATGGGGAGTGAGGGGGGGGGATTTTTGAAGCCTGTGCTCAGCAGTGGACTTGTGATGATGATGAAAACGATGTAAATTTGTTATAAAAAAAAGTCACTTGCCTATCAACGTCGCAACCAAATATATTTGTACTACGCTTGCCTGCGGATGTATCGCCAGAGCAATCCAGAGGCAGCTTATTAAGCTTAATAAGCTCCCCACGAAATAGGCCACCTGTGATCGAAATCGTTATGCTGGTAAAATATTTGTTTATTGCAAAAATATTACATAGATTTTGAAATTTACCTTATTGCCACAGCTTTGGATTTTGCTCTTTAGCAAAAATGAAAAGAAGAGGGAGGATATATAAACCACAAGTGGAACACTGGCCACCATTTCCGATCCTTCATTTTGATTTACTGATAGGCGCTCTTCAAGAAATAATGGAACGTAGACAAGACTTAAAGCCCAATACAGTCGTGAAAAAACGTATCTGAAATTATTTAAATAATATACATTTGTGTTCTCTAATAACTAATAACGCATAACGCATTTGAAATTGAAAATGATTTTTTTTTTTATATATTTGAAAATCTAACCTAACTATCTACTGCAAAAAAGTGTATCTATATGTTCTAATTACAAAATATGCATATTGATACACTTTTATTTTGTTATAACAATTATTATCAAATTTAAATCACGTAGATATATAAAAAAATGCTATTCACTTAATGTATTCTATTCCTATTTATCCCAGAAAATATAAAAAATTTAACCTGCTCAAAGTTCAAAAACTTTATTAAACACAGTTTGTATAAAAAGGGTTATTATGGTATTAAGGAATTTATGGATTATAATTACCCCTGGTAATGAGGTGATCGCTACCAAGCTATTTCTAATTTGTTTTGTGTGGTTAATTGTGATTAAATTATTGTAAGCTGTTATTTAAAAAAAAAGTTCCGCTGGGTTTCTTGCTGGTTCTTTCCAGGACAGAGTTTTTTTTCGAACCAGTGGTAATTAAGCAAAAGAGTGACTTTCAATAAGTATTATTTATAATCTATATTGAATAAAAAAGTTTCTGTTTCTGTTTCTATAGATAAAATTGAGATATCTATCTGTCATATCGCAATAACTGCCTTTTGTTTAGTTTTCTAATTTTTTGTCTGTTTGTCTGTATGTATGATATATAAATCTAATCTTCGGAATGTCTACAACGATTTTAATAAAACTTCACGAACAGATAGAAAGCAAAGCCAGGAGTGATCTAGGCTATAATTTATCCGGAAAACTTAGATTTTAAAAAAATTATAAAATAAATGGCCTTTGATCACCTTAAATGTATATAACGCTACATCAACGGATCTAACCAGCCAAAGCCAGGGCGAGTTGCTCTATAAATAAAATTACGATGTGAAAACCTAAACAGGTTGACCGATTTTAATGGATTTTATGGGGTTCTTGTATCCTACTTATGTCTTTAAGGGTCATCTGGATGGTTGTTATTTATAGCCGGTAGGTGGAGATCCCCCGGTAGATAGATCGCTAAATTTTCATATAAATAAAGTGTGATGTGTTCCGCAAATGATACATCAATTATTATGGTTTTCATTTATTAGACATGTTGTGTTTTGATCAAATTTTAAGGAAATATTGAATATTGAAACTTACTTTTACTTAATCGTATTTAGTGAATCTTTATCTAAGGGTTCTAAACTAACCTTGCCTAGTGATAATACACTATATAACAAGCTCGCCTGTCACCCAGAAGGGTAGGTAGAAACTACGGACTTCCATTTGGCACGATCCTAACACACTTCTCTCGCCTCGTTTACATCCATATATCTACGCATACACGCTCGTCAGTTTACGGTATTCCTATCTGGCCCATTTTTAATATATCGGCAATTTGGTCCATAAACCATCGTCTAGGTCTAGGGCGTCCCTTCCAGATTCTGCCGTTCACATCTGCAATATAGATTTGCGTTGTCACTTTTTCCTCGTTCATTCTTTCTACATGATCAAACCACAAGGCATTCCTTTCTTAATACTGGTCACAACATCATCTTGCAAGCCACACTTTTTTCTTATCACACAATTTCTCACCCTGTCAGCATTCTCATTCTCTCTAGTGCTTCTTGTGCCACACCCAACTTTCACTATCATACATTAAAGTAGGGACTAACACAGCATTAGGAATGGTCATACGTGCCTTTGTGGTGGGGCCGCGGGGGGAGAGTACTGTCGGTAATGCCAGGCGCCGCTCTCCCTACCCTCCGCGGCCGAAATTTGGTTGGCGGCGGAGCCCGAGACCAGATCCGCCGCTGGGGTCGGGAAAGCGGGCGCTATTAAGCGCTCGATTTTCCTGGCCCCATGGCCTCCGCGTATCGGACTCGGGGGGGTCCGATACGAAGTTGGAGTTGGAGGCTGTGGAGGGGGGTAGCTGAACACCTCGCTACCCCGTGCAGGAGACGAGGCCCGGACAGACCGGGCCAGCACTAGTGTGGGGCTGCGGAAGAATTTAGCCGGAGGTATCCATGAGGATTTCCCCACGAAAAAAAAAGGTTAGGTTAGGTTAGTTTAGCCCTATTCACTCTATTTCCTGGGTTAACTCGTCGTTCTATATCCTTGTCATATCTACCATACCTGCTAAATACACATCCCAAACACACAAACTCATCCATTTGCTCAATCAACTCGCCTTCTATTCTTATTTCACATATCGTTTTTCTTCATGCTCTTTCAAAAACCATCACTTTCGTGTTACTTGCGTTCACTTTCATTCCCATTTCTTTTATAGACCTGTTCATTAATGTACCCATCATATGCAACTCAGCTGCCAACGACCTTACAAATACGAATTGATGGTTAACTCACCCATTCTTAACTAGCATTTTCAACAGTCAATCTTTCCAAACAAGTGTCCATAAATAGGTTAAAAAGCCACGGGGAAGCTACACAACCCTGTCTGACACATTTTCAGATACCAAAACAGTCCGAGTAGACCCCGTTGATTCTGACACAAGCACTAGAGTCCCTATAAAGAGACCTTAATGCCTGTATCAAACCAGCGCTCAACCCAAATGATTGTAGTGTTAGACATAACACGTTCCTGTTCACTCTGTCATAAGCCTTTTCCAAGTCCATGAACGCATAAAAAACTTTATGGTTTTTGGCCAAAAACTTCTCCACGATCATGCGCATGTAAAAGACTTCCATACACCCCATTCCCTTTCTAAATCCGGCTTGCAAATCCCAAAGTGATAAGAAACTGAGAATTAATTGAAAAAAAATTGCTTAATTCTTCTTTTGGTAACCAGCATTCTAAATCTTCTCTTCGCCTTGCTCGCCGTCGCATCTAGACTATACCTAGGTATGACTATTCATTAAAATTAGGTACCTACCTACTCGTCTTTATTTTAGCTCAATACTTAAAAGAATATTTTTTATTGATTTATATCAAAGAAAATTATATTGTCCGATCAGTATAATTTTTTTAATTACATTAGTTGCAGTTATATACTTCAGTTGATGGATATATCAAACGTTGGTGTAGATTCTCAATTTTTGATAAAATATATCAGTTTATATTCATTTGTGACTTAAAAATTTATAGTAAACGGTATTTAAATGGAAATAATATTTAAAAGGCGTTTCGAAAAAATGAAACACATCCGAAAAAAAAAACGATCGTTAAATGACTTTCTTGCCGTAAAAATTTATGACTCTCATTTAGTCTGGTGTTAATTTGGCGCAATAATTACCGTTCACTATCAGTAAAGCAAATTACTCTTTTGTTATTATCATTAATGATCTTCGTTTAATAAACATATTGTCTATTTTATCTGTTAATATACCTAATTGTGTTAATCGTTTGTTCGTTTGTTCTAGTATAGTAGAAAATACCTTTTTAAAATAGTTTTATTTGTAAGACGTTTACATGTAGTGCTATTTTCAAAACGCCCTTAGCTGGTATTGTAAACGTAACTGGTATCGCGGGGGCCGTACAGTTTGCGTTTAGCAAGCAAGTTTTAACAATGTGAAAAGATAAATGTATGTAAATGATAAGTAGAATCGCTTACTATAATCAATTCGTTTTTATTCATATAAATCTTCTTTCTTAGTTACAACAAAAAACTGTTAAGTAAGCACAACTTTTTGGTATTATTTCTAACATAATAAAAAAAATAAAAAACCTACCCTTTAGAAGACATTTAACAAAAATATTTTTTTAAATGCCTTCTAAGGGCCGGCAATCCCCCTGCATTTCCCCTGGTGTTGCGGTGGTTCATGGGCGGCGGTAGTCACTTACCATCAAGTGATCCGCATGCTCTTTGCCCCCTCTTCTATAAAAAAAATGCTATATAAACTAATCTCTACTAAATCTCAGCATCACCCCAAGATAGACTGGTAGCGAATGCCTTACTCATTAAGAATATCCATTGCCCGGTATCATCCCGTGGGTGCCGTTAGAAGCGGCAGAGTGATACTGAAACGAGAGATGGGCAGCAGTACTGCAGTCTACCTATATTTTCACTCAAAATTATAAAAAATTGCCGTCGCTATACTACGCCTACCCCGGCGAGCCAAATATGGCAAAACAATATATGGAGGAGAGGCCTATGTTCAGCTGTGGGCTTTTATAGGCTATAATGGACAGGTGGATGCTTATGAGGTTTGAATTCAGGGAGGATTTCATGTTTGCTTTTCATCAAAGTCCCAACGTAATTGAACTACGAGCTACTCCGAAGAAAAACTGTTATCTACTGTTATATTCCTGTTTGATACAAAACCTGGGAAGTCGACTTTCCTGTATATAAAAGTACATATTATATAAATAGTAAGTATTAGTATCACACGGCATCAGCAGGCTTCAATTTGACTCTAAAAAGACATCGACCCCATAATATAGTATATAGAATGAAATAGTTCGAACAACTGTTATTATTTTGACATTTTTCTATGACCTAATCAAATACCTACTGTAGAAAGCAGTGCGTTTGTTTCTCTCTTGATGCAATATTAATAAACTGAATATTTGACAAAATAAATAAAAATGAATGATTACATATACTGACGGCTGCGCACGATGATTGATTCTTAGAATTTAAAAAATAAGGGTGCTTTTCCACCAGAGATGTATTATGCTGCTCTATGCTGCGAGGATGTGAAAGTTAAGCTATGAACACATATGACCGTTGATGCTAAGCTATGTAGCGGGGCGAGTAAGATGTGCTATGAAGATGCACCGCCGCGTTGCAGCTGTGCGAGGAAGATGCACAGCTCGAGCTTTGCGATGTCTCTACAGTAGGGAAGGCACAGGGAGCTCTGCTCTGCTCATAGCTACACTACTCGCGACCATCCATAGCACGCATCCATAGCACGCATCCAGAGCACGCATCCATCCACATAAACAACCTTAGCAGCGTAGCAAAGCACATCTCCAGTAGAAAAGCACCCTTATACTTGGGACCGTACGCCCCCTATATACCAGTTAAAAGCGGGACTTCGATTTGTTACAGTATCATCCATAATAACTTTATATTCGAATAGAAGATACTTACAACAGGCTTGTTTGATATAACAATGGCATTTGCAAAAAGTGTAATATTTTCGATGCAGCTGCTTCGTCTTCTTCTTCAAAATTCTGTTGTTTTCCATTGCTGAAAATTTCGTTGGAGCTTGTCTGAATTCTTGCCAGTCGGTTTGTGAAAGAGATGTGAAATATTGTAAACGTAGTAATTCCAATACCAGTTATTATCAACGAAACATCCTGCAAGATAACGTGTAATGTAATTGAAAGTAAATTACTATTTCGTAAAACAATTAAATACAGATAAATATGCAAATACGCGTTACCCGGAACTTGTAATCATCCGTAGGACCAATAAAATTACTATAGTTCGAAGCTTTTAATACAATCCACGTGATTAAATAAACAGTCAGGCTTGATAAAACTGACGCCATGTATCTAAAATTTATAATATACATATTATCATTAATATTTTGATTTACTGCTTATAGAACTACTTTACATATGTATTATTAAATAAAAAGATAGTATTTAACTATCATATTATCTGTTTCATTTATTATAAATCGATATAATATGTTTTATTATGCAACTGTTGCAAATTTATAATATTTTTTAATCTCGGCAAAAAAATTAATCGCCTTTTATCGTTAAAGAGCATTAGCTACATAATTCAAACTGTGAAATTGAAATTCATAAAGCATAAAAATACGACTTCTCTGACCTAATTGAAGTTAATTCGGAACGAACTTGTGGGGAATCCGAAATCGATGGTATTATCGCTAAGTGAGAAATTTGAACTGTAGCCCATCCTATTTGGAAGACAACTATAAGAAATGCATAGTATAGTGGCATCCACCACGAGAGATAGTCAAAGTTTTCATTTGGGTAGCAGCCCCAGCATCTCACAAAAAGTAATGGGAAAGTACCAGTAACTAAAATACAACCTGAAACAATAATAAAAATGAATATTACCAATATCAAATAAAAATTAATGAAAAAGTTATAACATTCAAATATATAACATTTTTCAAAAATCTGAGATAAAGCAAGGTTTTTCATCAAACTTCGATAATTTTGGTAACATTTAACATTTTTTTTCAAATTAAGTAAAACCTAGAAATTAATCAAGTAGAGAGTACACGTATATATTTTAATTAGTTACAATTTAAGCTGGTATTCAACATTATGTCACTACCTGGTTAACTCGATTAAATAACCAATTACTGTCTATTGATTAAGTTAATTGTAACTGCTTAGTTTAATTTGCCAAATGAATTAGGAAATAAGGGTCGAAGTATTTAGTTCGTACCTACTAAATGCCAAATTTTTTTCGTGCTATATTTGTCGGCAAGTATTCCAACTATGGGAGTTGCAAGCGCGTCAACGACTTGTCCTGAAAATTAGCATAAAATAAAAATTAAATATAATAGGTTACTGATGTGTGAGTATTGGTTAATTTACATAAGATTTAAAATTGTTTCTTGGTTAAAAAATATCTTGTATTATCAAAACATACTATAGAATTTTGTTAATATGTAAATTTTTATCGTTCCAACGATTTCTATGGTCTTATATTAATCGATGTATTATAGTCATGTCAAGGACTTATAGTAGATATACGTATGGAAGACACGTAAGTGTCGCTGGTTACCTTATTTTCGAAACTTAGTCCTAGTTAATGATAAACTTTAGTCCTAGTTAGTGATATTTTACACACGTAATTAAATAAAGTTATGCAAGTATGTGTAAATTTTAAGGTTCATCCACTTAGACTTTATTAAGAATTGGAAGCAACTCTCACCCAGTAGCAGCATAGCTCCGGCAACAGCTGCCCTCATTTGTAACACTGCTTGAAAGTATAGCATCATGTAAGAGAACCACATGGCCGCACATAGGTCGTTGTACACATGACCTAACCCATATATGAACTTTTGACTGATTTTCCACCAGCGACGCCGCTTAAATGGAATACTATGAATCAAAAAGCTTAATAATTAGTGATTATTGTTTCTATTGTTATTTGATACATAAAGAATTGTAAAATGTTTTTAAAATTCGCTCTTTGCTAAAAATTTATGATAACCAATTAGTTTACAGTTTATTATATTTTTGATCGTATTTTTTGTACATTAATAGATATTATGAAAAACTTGTGAATATAAGTGTGTTGGTAGAGATAAAAGATTTATGTTAAAGATTAGTAGATAAGGTCACTATTTCGATAAAAAAGTAAGGAGGAAACATTAATTTCCTTTAACAAGAACGGCAATATCCAATTTGAGTCCTAATTTGTCTCTTGCGACGAATTGAATACTCTATCTACATTTCACGTTGTAGAGTCGTTCAAGACGTCTGCACATGCAATGAAATAAATCAAATTTAATATATTAATGAACAGTAAAGGGCTTAAATACCTTATTTCAATTTCATTGTCGTTACAAATTAATTTTTCCACGTTTGCCGGTGTTTCGTTCACAATAGTTGCACCATATTTCGCATTCATATTAACAATATTAAAAAAAAAGTTCGTATAAAAATTAATTAATGTTCTTTAAAACCAACTGCTTAGCTTAAAAGAATTTTTTTAAATTCTAACATTTGTATTAACATGCGGCCGCGGCGGCACGTCTAGTATGAAAGCAATACTCCGTACATATAACTGACTTCAAATATGGTAGCCTAATTCCGGAGACAATATCAGAAAACCGATGGTTATTCGTTATATTAAACCTTGTTTTAACGCTTCTATAGCGTAAGGTTCCTTAATAAATTTTCGCAATAACTTTAAAACTCATCCAAATGAAATTTTTATTATCTAATTACTATCCTTACCGGGCCACGTAAAAAGTAAAAAAAAAAAAAAAAACGTATAATATAATTATTTCCTACAGCTGGTCTTTTCTCATTTCTGAGAGGGTTTTGCAGCAGGATTAAATGAAGAGATACTTTTATGAATTTATATATTGCTTAAGTATATTATACTAGTCACGGTGTTATATTTGAAGGTTTTATAAATACACATGTGATTTCGCTATAAACTTGATTGTGGAAGTATCTAATACAACAGTGGTTGCCCTTGATATTTGAGTAGGCTTAGAAATATTTGATTTCAACGAACCCAAGAGAGGTTATAGTTTTAAAATTGGTTCTAATTTTTCTATTAAATCGACATTTTTAACAGGTTTAAAAAAATAAGTATTTAACAATATTTAACACTATCAAAAGCTTTAGTTAGGTAAACTTAATTTATATATGTATTTTTTAAACTTAAAGTATTATACTTTGATTAAACTTACAAATGAATAATATGATAATTTTCTCGTTCTCTTATTAATAATTTGTTTTGATGTATTTAGAATCAAACAATCATGAAAATTGTTAAAATTTTATTTACCCGTGGATTTTATCGCTTTTAACTTTAACTTAACATCAGCATTAAACAACTATTTCTATATTTTTTACCTTATTAGGCTCAACCGGGGAAGGACCACGCTCTTATAGAATACCAGCGCATAATACCAAAAATAGCAGCTTAACGCTGCTGTGATTCGTATGTTGAGTGTAGAGTACCGGAGATTCTTTTTACTGAAAACGAGGCATTCCATCTTAATCCGCACGGGTGACAACGTATCTGTATTTTGATTCTTAATCGAAGATATATTTAGATCTTTATGAGCCACAGCATCCACTTACCATCAGGTGGACTGTGTGCTCGTTTGTCACCATTATTCTATAAAAAAAATTAAGGATGTATTTATGATTCCCCATGTTTCGGTTGCTTTACAGCACACATAGTCACGGGGAACTGAATACTTTTAAGGCTAACTTCAGCTTGTAAATATTAGTTTTGGTCTGATCTACGCAGGACGAGCTAACAGGACCTTGAAGTCTTGCAGTAGTGTGCTTATAGCCGGATTTAAAGTTAAAAAAGTTGAAGTTACAGCCTATATACACGTCCCACTGCTGTGCACAGGCCTCTTCTAATTTCTGAGAGGGTTTTAGGGCAAGGAAATGTCTGCCGCGCTGCCCCAATGCGTGTTGGCGAACTTCACATGTCTTCGAAATATATTTTTTTTCTTATTTGTCAGACATGCAGATTTCCTCACGATGTTTTCGTTCATCGCCGAGCACGTGGTCAATTAGCACTTAAAATTGCTAGTAACCTTATTTTATTATTATTAATTAATTTAAATATATATTATTAAGTCAGCCCAGCTATCCATATTGAAAATTGGATAAATTTAAGGGTATGACGTAGAGTTATACTGTAGAATTTATCAATAATTTTAAATATAACTTATTTGAGAATTTTATCACGTAGCCTATCTGAGCTACTAGAGCATAAACTGGGTTCAAAAGTAACCCAATACTTACGGAAGCCACTAGAAAGTCCAATCACCCACAATATTATCTAAATGAATAAGTAGATTGATAGGTGAATTATATCGTTATAAAATTATTAATCAAATATTTTGATACTGAAATTTAAAATTTCATGGAATAGAATAGATTTTTATATTTAATATAGATTACTTATTGAAAGGCACATATGCTTTAAATAATGGTTCGGAAAGCTTACGTTCTAGGAATAATCAGTAAGATAACTATAGTTGGACCTTTTTAACATTAATTTACATTATAATATACTAAACATTTATAAAACAGGATGGTAGCGGACAATTCATTCCCAGGGCTACTTACTAGGCCTGCTTCCTATCAATCGCGGTAGAGCCGTATAAACATCTAAATATCTTTACGCGGTAGACTCATACTGCAGCTATATTAGTAGTATAGTTGTAGCACGAATAGGTCGGCTCGACCGGGGAAGGACCACGCTCTCACAGAATACCAGCGTAAAATAGCAGCTTGACACTGCTGTGTTTCGTATGTTGAGTGTAGAGAACCGGAGACCTATTTTACTGGAAAAGAGGCATTCCATCTTAGTCCTCACGGGTGACGACGCATCTGCATTTTGATTTTTTGTTGAGGATAAATGTAGATGTCTATGGGCCGCAGCAAACACTTACCATCAGGTGGACTGTGTGCTCGTTTGTCACCCTATCCTATAAAAAAAAACTACCTAAAACTTCCTTCCATCCTTAAAATACTGTAACTTATTAAACAATTTTTGCTTAACCATTTTGAACTTTTAGATGTATAATAATAATATATTTTTTAGTGTTTCGTACCGTGATTGTGGAACGGATAACTTAAGGAATAGCAATGGTGTCTGTCTATCTGAATATCGGACGTGTTTCTCAGCGATTATTTTACATGGATTATTGAAATTGTCAATACTCGTACTTACTCAAAATCGACGGCAGTTACCAAATATAAGTTTTTAATGTCAGTTAAAAGTTAGGGCTTGACACATTGCAGTCCTGTACCTTAAGCGGTAGGTATATCAGTATAGTATAACTATTTAGTGGTTAATAATGTCCTAATAAACAAGAAAAATCAAAAACACAACTTATTTTTTATATTGTTTTTTTTCACAATATATAACAGAACGGCTTAGTAGAACAGAAATACATTTTTATTGATGAACTGTTTTTTAGTTTTTGCGTTATGTTGACAATCTTTTGGCTTTCGTACGTGTATACGAAGCAAGCCTTGTTTGAGAACGAGAAGCTTTTGCTACCAATAGTGGCGTCGAAGACGTCAGACGAAGTTAATTTTTCTAAAGATCCTGATGACGCAGGATTTGATCGCGATGTTCTTACCGCCCTTGCAAAACTTGTCCCAGCATTGGTTCAATTCCACCTATATGAGAAAGTCCGAGTTGTAACGACTTTTTCTAAACCGTTTTATGTGCTGCAAGAATGCTTGCATCCACGGTGGTTTCATCTCATCATATATCGTAGATTTCACTATAGCCATTGTACTTTTTGTTACTTAAGTATTGTACCTGAGTATTTGATCAAGCACCTCTACACTTTTTTCTTTTTATAGCTTAGGATCGTATGGCGTTTTAGCTGTGTGAATACGTCCCCATGCACATGGTAACTCTTTACCATAACAAGTCGACAACGGAAATACATTTGTTTTGTCTTTCTATTATAGCACAGTCACGTCAAATTTTTCTGTTTCACTGCAATCTTTTCTTCTTCAAGGTAAAAAACTTAAAACGTTTACGTTTTTTTATCTTACTCGTATAAACGAATTTTTATTAATGACATGCGAATTTTTTGTGCATATTTTATTATACTATACCAGATATTTGCCCCGCGCTGTTACTACCCGCGTCCAAGTTGTAATACACTTGTTATGAGATTGTATAATGCGGATAGCCCAAGATGTCACGTGGAAACATTCACATATTTCGGAATGATAATGGTCGCAGATTTTAAGTTACATTAATGTTTATCGAATAGTGAAAACCACTCTAACAATCTCCCTCTTCGTACTCCATTACATTCATCCTCCTTCATCAATAAATCAATATTTACAGCTGTGCGGTTGTGGCCTCTTACCATTAAGCGAATTGTATAGCATCCCTCCATAAGATGGAGTGACGAACTGGTAAGAGATATAGGCAGTCAATGTGTGCAGGTGGCTCAGGACCGAGTTTTGAGGCATTCCTTGGTGGTTTATGTTTAGCATCACATTTGAAAGGGTTGTAATGATGATGATAACGAATATGACTTACATGAACTCGTATGTATGTATGTATGAAATATGAATGTATCGGAATTTCGCAATTCACTTTTTACCCACTTCCAGACCTCTGAATAATCTGAAATTTTGCAGATGGATTAAGAATCGATGACAATACCCTAATTTTATGTCAAAACTGTGTAGTGCTATCTCTAGGATTATCGCAGCTCATAATCGATACTTGGTGTTCAAGTTTTTTGGCCGACATTTAAAAGAAAGAGGAGGTTTACAATTCGACTATTTTTTTTTATTTACTTCAGAGGTGGTCCCATATAATTTTGGGGAAAAATCCTACCCTATTTAGACGATGATTGTGAGATATTCCTTAATTAATGTTCCCAGGTGTCGCCAGTACGTCCCGATATTCAGGGAGCAAAACGCAAAATGTGTAGATACTCCTTAGTCTGTACTTCGATCGATAATTATGACAGCTGAAATGAATACATCTGTAAGCTGTTACTGTGGCTGGTACTATATTTAAATATTTTAACTTTGATATTTAATATTTTTGCACCAAAATTGGACTAAATAGTCAACATAAAAGTTTTAAACTTTACGCGTATTGTTTTGGTGAAATAAAGATATCATTCATACTGTTCGTTTTTTTTCTCGCCGGGTAATGCCGCCTGCCCCGCCACGCTATGCCTCGACGTCGTCAATTCGGCCATCATTTATTATTTCATTATTTTACTATTAATTAGTACAGTACCTAACTTACATGATGAGGTTTAGATAAGTACATTTAGTAAAATGCAAAAGTCTTGTTGGGTAGTTTTTTTACTATTCAATTACTTCAAGCGGTTGTTGGTACTGCTATTTTCAATAAATAAAGTGGCATTATGCGTG